CAGTATTGCACTATTAACCCTGCTCGCAATTCGGGGCACGCAAGTATCAGGACCTTCTGTTCTACACATTGTAAACAGAGAATCTGCAGCTGTGCTTTACACAATGAAAAGTCCAGGTCATTTTCCACAAGAACCAGATATCATTAATACATTTAAATGCTAAAGATTCCAGACATTTGTTTGTGAAATTAACTATGTTTTCTACGTTTTCTTCCAAATATGATGAAGCAGACAACTACTGTGGGCCAATAAAAGCACTAAAGTCCCAGAATATCAAAAAGCTTAACTGTATTTTTATGAATGTTCTTCAAAAAGAGTTTATTTTTTAACACTGCAGCCAAGAGAAACAACCCATTAACAATCACTGAACCATAATGTCTCAATAAGTAAGTTAACTTAAAGGGATGCACCAGCATTAAAAAATCTTCAACCCAAAGGTGGCCCAAAACTGTACATAGTATATGTGTACATAACTTTAAATCAGTGCAATAAAAGATTTAGTCTGAGTCATTTTAATTCAAAGCCCTTAAATCTACTTGATAAAAATCAAGAGTACATTTTCCAGACAGCTGAGTTCACTTTACATGCCACCTCTCTTATTACTCACCTGGGGGCAGGGACTGTTTGAGCTTCTCAGCCTTCTCCTTGTCTGTGATGACCAGGGTGTACAGGTACCTGCTGCAGCGCACCTTGAACTTAACATTGTCCTTGTTCTTCTTGATCTTTACGGCTAAAGGAGGAAAGACAAAGCCGTGTTAGCGCCGAGTCTCTTCAAAAGTCAACTCAAACATAATCATTTCTCAAGTCAAACAAACACTAATAGTTGAGAGCTTTAGTTTAATACTTTCCTCTACTGGATCTGCTAATACAAACAGCATTCGGAACACGTTTTTTTTTCATGCCTCAAAAATAGGCTTGTGGCAGGTGACTATATATGTAAGCATGAATGGTCTGTATATTAAATAGCCTAAGACAACACAGAATAACTGCCACAAGCCTGCCAATTACTAAACACTTTTAGTAAGTTTCACCACAATTTATTATTTATCAAAGCCATGGTGATTTTGCTTTGGGGGAAGACCAAAATCTCATTGAAGAGCACTTTAATTTAGAGGTAACTACATGATAGATGCCCCCCACCGAATAAAACATGTTTCTAGAGGTTCAAATGTCTTTTTCAACACCTTCACTGGACTTAAAAAGGTGCATTTCAATTTACAATGTTAATATAGGGCTGTCTGTGGCAAGCTGTCACCCACATATCTACCTATTCTTTGGCAAGAAGATTACATTTCTAGTTGTTAAACATCAAAATGTGCTGTCTGTGTGCCTCTTACACTTAGCATCCTTCCTCCTGGCTGTCAGCAGGAAATCTTTGATTTCTTCTATCTTGCGAGGCTACAAATAAACAGCAAAAATGATCAGTCAGACAGAGCATCAAACTTCACATGCTGATAATGAATCGCTCACGAGTGTTAGTGGACCGGTGGAACTGAGGTTCCCGTTATAAAGGCGAAACCTAGCACTTGGTCCATCATTATTCTCGCAAGAGTGTGAATGCATCACGGGCACATCAGCCTGAGATGTTTGGACTTCTTGCTGTTAGCAAAAAACTCTCTTTTGGTAGGATGTTGCTAATTGTCAGGCACCCTGTGGCTAACGCAGACCAAGTCAAAGCTGTAGTACTGTAGAAAAGACGCAACTATGATTTTAGTGCCTTAAGCTACTTTCAAGACATTCACTTCTAATTAAAATAACAAAAAAAAGCCAAAAACAATTTCTTATAGGTATTGACTCATGTGTCATTCCTCAACAAACTGCAGCCGGGTGGCCCAGCTTAGCCCCTGAGCGGCATTTTGCTAATGCTAATAGCCAGTGCTAACTACTTTTACAACAACTACCGACTATTAACTGAACTGTAAAAACATTCTAAGTAACAACATACACGTATACATGACATATAACCTTATTAAGCACAAATAATAAGCAACTAACAGATTAAAATGAGATGCAATCCTTACCATGCTGCCGTGTCAGCGGACTGGACGCTGCGGAAGAGAGAGATCGAGTCAGCTATACAGACGATAATCAATGTACTAAAAATAAAATTTCAATCTAATCTTCTACCAA